TTCTTCAAGATGTATGATGAATTAATCAAGAAAGGTAGCAAACAATCTAGTAAAGGTTTTTGAACAGATGTCATACTCAAAGTTATTTAATTACAAAGAAAAACTAGAATTCATCTTATCAAAGAAGTTTAAACATTTTGATGAGTTTTTCAACTTCTTTATTAATAGTTGAAATAATAAAAACAATTGGTTAAAAACATGTTTAAGATATTCTATACACAAAATTACAAGTTTCATAAATAAAAAGATAGATTCAAAAGATTTACATTATTAAAGATAGTATAAAGGTAAACTCATAAGAAATCTCAACTTCAAGCATAATTGAAAAGATGAAACATGATCTGTTTAAAAATGGCAGCTACAATATTGTAAAAAGCAAACTCATATTATATGAAAACAAAGCATTAGGTATAAAGCATTATTTTCCAAATGAAATTAATTAAAAAGAAAAAACATCTTTTGAACTGGTTGATGAAGATTTTTATTACAAGAATTTGAGATTAAATTACAGAGGCAGAGCTGAAAAAAAGGCAACCAAAGTGTGAAACAATAGTTAATAAACTGGAACAAGAAGGAAAATCAGTTCCTAATAGTCAAGTTAATATTATTGTGAAGTACCTACTTGGTAAATGAAGTGTTGGTGAGGAAATGTTATTAACAAAAGAATATGGCCCTAAAAAAGATACTATTAATACATTATACTATATTAAGAAATTCATTCCATTTATCAAATAGAGCATAAATCTTGAAGAGGATGAAGCCAAAAACTTTCTGTTCAAATGTTACAATGAGATCACAAGAACTTCAAATAAAAAATGAGAATTAGATGAAGATGATGAAGGATTTCAAATCAATTCTTACTAGGACCAAGCAAACAACTGAACCAAAAAAAGAAAAAAACTTAACAATAATAATAAAACTGCAGTTTAATCAAAAATAACAGACTTCTTAAACAATAATTAAAATTTGATAGATATTTTATTTGAAAAAAAATAATAAATAAATAAAATACAAAATTATTTTTTAAGTAAATCTTTTATTTCTTTCTGTCTATTCTATAAAAGATTTTCAAAACTATTTAGTAGTGCTTTTTTAAAACACATTTATCTATTTTTGTTACATCTACAAGAGCATCTAATAGATATGAAATTTTTTTTCTTCTATTCATTATTACTTTTCTACAAATATTAAAATCGAAATTTATTTCCTTTTCAATCATCCTTTTAATTAATGTTTTTAAGTCATAAGAAACAATAGAATAATCTAAAAATTTAAGAGTAAGTTTATAACTTAAATTATCTAATTTCAAACCATCAAAATGACCTTTAAGAAAGCTTAATACAATATCTATTGGTTTCATCTTGAAAATAATAACACCTCTTGAGTATTAAAACTATTATATTTTTTGATTGAATATTGTAAAGCTTTTAATAATATTATTCTACTATCTTTGAATAATGAAGAAATGTATCTTTTGAAAAAAACTACTTTAGATTGTTCTAGAGCCATCAAAGTAACTTCAGCATTAGCTTTAAATCCATTATTCTCCATTTTTGTAAATGCTAATCTATGCAGCATTTTATCTGACACAGTATTTATAATTGTTTTAAACAACTCAATTTTCAACTCTTCTTTATTATATTTAGAAATAACTTTTAAAACATTTAGATTTTCTCTATTTATAAACAAAGGAATAAATGACTTAATAATATCATCATCAGTTGAAATTATATATTCAATATTTAGTTTTTGACAAATAAATTTGAAAACAACACTATGCCTATTTTCTAAGATCACTTTAATAATTAGTTCTAATTCATATATTGTAATATTAGTAGGTTTATATCTAATAAATTCATTAAAAATAGTTTCTTTATTATTCTTAAAAATCATGCATGTGAATCTAAAATATGTAAGAAAATACTATTCTCCAAAAATATTTTGTAATAGCTTTCTTCCAAAAAGAGCACCAGTCATAATCATATTAAAATGTTTGTTTAAGAAACATATTATCCTTCAAATTTCAAAATCATTATCAATTATCATTTATAAAATTTTAAGTAGATATGAAAGATAATTCATTTTATTGAATTAAAAATAAAAATGATTCAACTACATAATTAAATATAAGAAAATGTTGTTTACAGAATCCAAATATAGAAATTCCAAATTATGTATAACTTAAACCTTTATATAACCTTCATTTTTATAACTATCTATCATTACTTGTATCAAGAATTTTGAAACTAATAAATATGTCTGATACTGAAAATTTTTATATTGTATCATCTAGTTACAATTTTAACAACTATACAAATTATAATAATAGGAACTCAAAACAAAAATACAGATACTATATTAATACAAGAACTGGTAAAAAAGTATTTTCATTTACTAAAGAAGGGAATAGTCTTTATGAATATATTGAAGCCTGTAAATTGCAAAAAAAACAAAAAAACTATGAAAATGAAATAAAGGCAATAATCAATTACTTTCAAACAAAATGTAATAAACATATTGATAATGAAGATGTTGTCTATGTTTATCTTATTGTTTGCCAAGATAAAAAATACTGTGAAATGTTTTCTTTTGTTAAAATTCGTAAATCAGATGAAACAGATAATGAAAAATTCACACATGATATTGTGCCTATCACTTTTAGTAGAATAAATGAAAAAGATGCTAATTCTGTTGATATACTATCCAAAGTACTTCTTATGACATTAACTGTATTTTATGATACTTTGAAATTGATTGCAAATGAACCAGTTTTGGAAAGATACAAAGAAAAAAAATGCTACTGGGTTCATATCAAACATGAAATGTCAGCAGTTTATTTTACATGAGAATTAAACTTTATGGAATTCTTTAATTACAATAGCAAGAATAGCAGAAAATTAAAATATACTGACACTATTAAAAAGACTAATAAACAGCTTAAATTGTTAGATAGTTTTGTAAAAGAAGATGTAGATTTCTACAACAAAAAAAATTATATTGATAATAATATATTAAAAATTTTTGATATAGTGCTCCAAGTCACTTCTCATCAAAAATTATATATTTTTTAAAAATCTATAAAATCTTAAGTTTTAAATATTTTTTAAAAATGTAACCAATAAAAACTATTGTTTTTCATTAGTTCTATCCAAATTATCAGTTAGAATTTTTTTAAAAGTTTATAGTTTAAAGTTATTAGCAGTTAAAATTTGGAAAATTTGTACAATTTACTATGTAATATATAAAATTGGCACTATATTACTATATATAATCTGCACAAAATTGGTGCGTCATATTAATCACATATATTGATCTACATAAAATTGGCATGAAAGAAAATAAATAAGTCATTTTAAATTATTAAAAACCCAACCCAATAGCATTAGCATTAATTAGACTAGTCTAAATATCTTTAGCTCTATAAGTATACATTATTGAGAAAAATTTGTGAATAATGGCAATTTGGCTGACAAATGATTGTCTGACATGTGCTGCTTCATGGCACTTAGCCAATCATTTGTCTGGTTGAGCCGAATTGCCATTATTCACAAATTTGTTCAATAATAGTATTATTCGACAATTTATTAGTAAGGAGTCACTTGCTGATTTTTTTTTTTTGAATATTGGAAAACTATAATTATATCGTAATACATGAAAAAAAAATAACAGTAAGTTTTTCATGATCATATGAGTTTGTCAGATAATTATTATTCTTTTCTTACATATTAATATAGAGATTTTCTTTTATATTTGATTAAAATTTTATAAGTACTTTCTTGCATTTAATTGTCTAGGTACGTATGTATATACTATGCCTGCAGTATATTAGATGCCAATAACTTGAATTTCGATTATTGGAATGTTTCAAATATTATTGACCAATCATAAGCTTATGTGTATATCAGTTAGATCAATTAACTTTATGCAGAGTCTATTATACTATTGCATAATCGTATTACTAAATCAGTAACAATGCATTAAAAATATATCATTAATTTGAAGTTTAATATAGTAAACATATGTATAAGATTTATTCAAGAATAAATTAATAAATAAAGTGAATAAGTTAACAAAATACAAACCTTATTGTAAAAGTAGCAGGTTATGGTTCGAGATATAATGAGAAAGTAAGAAAGAAGGTGTTAAGGTGGAGAGAATAGTAATGAAATTGAATAAAAGATGAAGAAAAATCTTAACTAATGCTGTGTAGATATAAAAAACTCGAAATTGCACCAAAACCAAGTTGGATTGTATGTGGAATATCAGCTGTATGACAAGAAAGAATCTGGGCATAAAGTAAAGCCCTCTTATACTTGAACTGTATTATGCCAATAACAACAATTGAACTCGACTCCTCTAAGCAAGAAAAAAAAAGTTTAAATTAATCAATTAGTAATTTGACACATTCAAAAGATCAGTAAAACAAGACTTTAAAAGTAATACTTATCCATATAATAATATAAGGTTCTAGCTTAACTAAACCTGTTTATCATGACAATTATATACATATTAAGTGTTCATTGTAAAAAAATTTTTATGTGAAGCTAATCTAACAAGACTAATTTAATGTATTAGAACAATTACAATAACTTTAAAATCGCAAATTACAAAAACTTTTTGAGACAGTGTTTTAAACACTAATACACAAACCTGATTGAGTTTACTTCATAATGATAAGTTAATTCAGCTGTGATAACGGCTTGTTTCAGTTGTTTCAGTTAAATCTGATAAGGTAAAATATTAATTATAAGTTTCCTTTACTCTATTTAATTATTATAATACTAATGCTAAAACTTTCTTGAAAAATTGATCCAAATTATAAATATACTTAATACAATTTTTAAACAAAAAGAAGCATAAATAAAATTTGAATATATTTTTATTAATGATAACATATATCAAAAACTTATATAAAGAGATACTTTTTGCTGAAATTATATTCTAAACTACTTGACTTCACGATACTATTTTATTTCATATCATATTTATAAATTTTGACAATGCAAAAGACAAAATATAAAAATGCTGCAAAGAATCATATACGTACACAAAGTAGAGATAGTAGTGGAAAATTTTCAAAACCTGCAGGTACAGAAAGTAGTGATTCAGAATATAGCGATCTAGAATATAGTGATCCAGAACTTTTGGTTTATGAATCTGAGAACAATAATGAGAAATACTTTAATAATGAAGAGACGGAACTTGATGATGAAGAAGCTAAGCAGTTAATTTATAAAAATAATTCTTTTTATAATCTTCAATAGGATAATAAGGCATCTGGTGGTCGGTTATCATATTATTCTGGAAGTTCAAAACATACTCAGCAATGCAAAAATAAAGGATTATGGGAGGCAGCACAAGGATCAATGAGCTTGGACAATTTTTTTAAACCAGTAAAAAAATTAGAAGTTAAATATGAGATGTTAGATTCAGACGTAAGTAATTCAGATATAGAAAATAACAGTTCCATTTCAGAGCAAATAAATAAATTAAAGAATAAACTTAAAGATGTGAAAAATATGAATGCTTATGAATATCTTCACTTTCTGGCTGTGCATAAATATCTTACTGCAATCTTCAACCATGAAGAGTCACATTCTCGCATAAAACTAAGTCTTGAAATATCACAACAAGTCTTTCAACGTGGTCCATGAATGGCACGTTGCATTTGTGAGTGGTCAAAAAATTGGATTGCAACAGAAACTTTATCTGTCTCTAAGCAAGAACAACAAAAATACATATCAACTCTTATTGATGATGAGGATGTGCAAAGTTCTTGTTTGCGTTTTATCTGTACTATAGGAGAAAGATTAACTGCTGATAAATTTCAAAACTATGTTCAGAACAATATCTTACCTAATGTTACTAGCTCTCACACTTCAATTTCATTAGAAACAGCTCGAATTTGGCTTCATCGTCTTGGTCTCATATATCAATGACATCAACAAGGTATTTATTACGATGGCTATGAATGCCTTGATGTTGTACAATACCATGCTGTATTTCTTGAAAAAATGAAAGATCTTGAAGCTTTAATGCTACAATTTGTTGATGACAATATGGAAACAGTCATTAACTCTGAAATAAGTGAAGAAAAACAAGTTTATATTCTTGTCACTCATGATGAATGTATATTCTATACTAATGATGGTCGTCCTTCAGTATGGGCTTCTCTTGGTATGCTGCCACTACGTAAAAAAGAAAAGGGTAAAGCACTTATGGTTTCAGAATTTTTAACTGAGACCCATGGTCATCTTACAATTACACCTGCAGAAATAAATGAATTAAATCTGTCGCCAACATTCCCACAAGAAGCTCATGTTATTGTTAAATCTGGAAAAAACGATGATGGCTGGTGGAATGCTTTTGACATGTTTATGCAAGTATCCAATAAAGCATTCCCATTTTTGAAGCAACACATCCAAACTGTATTGGTGTTTTTGCATTTAATAATAGCACCAATCATAGTGCTCTCGCAAGTGATACACTATGTGCTAAAAATATGAATCTTTTTCCTAGTAGTAAACAGTCAAGATTACATGACAGCTGGTTTATTAATGAACAAGGTAAACAAGTTACTCAGCCAATGATTTTTTCCAATGATCTTCCTCTTGATAATGATAATTATATATTTTGTGATCAGTCAAAGGGTATTCAACAAGTACTTCGTAAGCATAAGCTATGGCCTAGTAGTGGTCTTAAATTAAAATGTAATAAGAACTATTGTGATCCAAGTGTACTTAATTGTTATGCATGTCACCTTTTGTCTGCACAGTCTGATTTTACTATGCAAAAATCAGCATTAGAGGAACTTATTGTTGAACGAGAACATATTTGTGTATTTTATCTGAAGTTTCACTGTGAGTTAAATTTCATTGAACGATACTGGGGTGCCATAAAACGTTATGCTCGTGAGCATTGCGATTATTCTTGGGCTAGATTATAGGTTACTGTACCTGAAGCACTTGATTCAGTATTACTTACAACTATACGTTATTTTGCATGAAAAGCATGGTGTTATATGGATGCTTATGGATGTAAACTTACTGGCCGGGTAGCAGAATATGCTGTATGTAAGTATCGTTCTCATAGACTTATACCTAATGATATTGATTTAGAGTTGTGCTAATAGTTTGTATCAAAGAATAGGAATTACCTATTATTTGTATAAGTAATATAAAAAAAAAAAAAAATCATTTTTATTATATTGTATTTGAAGTAAAACATAAAATCTAAGAATATTATATATGTTAGTATAAGTATGTTATAGACCCAGGTTTCCTAAGTCTATTGTTATAAAGGTTATTATTGTCAGATGATTTATACAATAAATTTTATTTATTTAACAAGTTTAAAAGTTATACAGAAGTTAGATTAATAGGCAGTAATCTTAAGATGTATAGAATGACTCAAAATACAACTAATAATGAATATTTGATAGTATTTCAATATGCAAACAGAGGAAGTCTTTATAAGTTCCTATATAATAAAGGACTTGACAGTGTTTAATTTAAAAATTACGATCAATAATTGTGATGCTAACTAAAGGTTTTATCACCATTATGTACCATATCTTACTATTAGTTACCCGATATGTTACAGTTATTGGTAATTACCTGTTATTTATTTATTCGACCTATGCAATATTAAGTAAATATATATCAAATAAACTTTTCAGTTTCTTATTCATTGTTTATTGCAAGCATATAAAGTTTATCTGTCTTGATATCATACTATCATACCTTTAAAAAATTATCTACCTTTCTAGTTCTTTCTGCCTGTATTTTAGTGTCAAAGAGTTAAGCAATCACCGTAGTGACTGCTATCTACCTCAGACTACTCTAACTTTATTTTTAGGCCTTGCTCAGCACAACATACCTTCGGATACACATATACAAGATATTCTTTGTAGGTTTATACTTAAATGATATTTTTTACTTTCTTAATTTTCTAGTCAAAAAGACTGTTGGATTCTTTATTTACATTTTACTATTTATGCCATTCAAACATTTGCATATTTCGTATTACACTTTAACTATTTATTTGTTATTAATTAATTAAACTTTTAATTGTTCCCCAACTAATCATCATATTCATGCATTCGATTATGCCCCAATGCTAATTTCCTACCACGACTTTGATCGATCATATGATCGATCACATGAGTCGTTTGATTCATATTTTTGTTTAATCTTTACAATCATTGACACACTTAACATTTCTTTATATATTTGCATACCTCTCACTAGGTATAAGGGCTCTTCGAAAGCTATGCAACATTTTAGACAATAGAATCTTCCGGATTTGTTTTCAAAATTTTATATCTAGTCAAATCCAAATTTGGCGTATCTTGTTATATCTAGCTAAATTTGGTGCACCTTGAATATATATAGCTAAATTTGGCGTACCTTGATAAGAAGTGACTTGGAGCACTATAAGTATTCTGTTTCAGACCCTGACTGGTTAAAGAAATTCAAAGAAACACCAAAATTTGAATCTAAACTACTGATTGGAACTAATCTTTCTTCTTTAATTAATTGTAAAAAATGTAAAATTATTAAAAAAGATGTACTGAATAATAAATCTAAAAAAAGCAAAAAAAAATAGTTTTAGATTATATTTTATATGTTCTTAATATATTTTAAATAAAGTTATATTTTATTGGTCAATTATATTAAGTTCAATTTTGTAAATATCTATTTAAATGCTGCATTTGTATTTTTTTTGTCTAAACCTATTGTATTAATAATGTTGTTTGTAAATATTACTACTAATAATTATAATGAAATTACTGTTAAATTTTATCTTTCTTTGATAAAAATATCTGAATTATTAGAACTACTTATAACTGATTATGCTTCTAATCCTAACAAGAAAAAATCAACAAATTCTTTTATATTCTTTTACATGAATGTTAAGCAACTTATAAGGACTAAAAAAAAGAAACTAAATATGCATACACTATCTACTATTTCTAGTATCTTATAGAAACAACTTGATGAAAAAGTAAAAAAAAATATAAACAGATTTCTTTAAATATTAAAAAAAGAACATTTATAAAATAAGAATTTAAATATTCATAATATAGATTTTGTAATGTTTGAAGAAACTTCACAACAACCAGAACTACAAATTTTGCAAGATCAATATCACAATCAAATCTATAATGTTTTATATTTTAATTATTCACAAAACATATATTAAATTTTTTTTTTTAAATAAAAATATTGTTTTATTGATAAGATAAAAAATACAATAAGATTATAAAATAAAATTAATCTTGTTTTTGAATATAGTATATTTCAACTACATCTACATTCTATTTTCCTGCTGCAAAAACAAAATCATATAATCTAACATTATATCTTCAAGAATAACCATCCAGAATCAGATATTTGTAACCAAAAACTACTTCTTTATCACAGTTACTATCAATATATAATTTAGTATTATTTTGTATAGATTTAGCAACTTGATATGTTCCTGTTTCTTGAGTACTTATTTTGAACAAAAAACTATTTTCTATTTGCATTGTATTATTAATCCAATAATTATCATTGTAGCCTCCAAGTATATGCCCAGCTTTACACCCTTTACTAATAATTAACAGAGAGCATTTTTCTTTACAAACATTAAATATATTTTCACTAGTTAATTTACAATCAATTTTTGATAAAGAAAATATCAGTTTTATGTGAAATGAACATCCAAACATATTTTTTAAAACAGGTATATTATAGGTTTTTAATATCTTTGATACATGATTTATATTTGAGTATCTTATCTAATTTATCTCATATTTTGAAAAATAATTAGGATCAAGCTTTTTACATAACACATCTTCTAAAATATATTTACCCTCATCTATACACTACATCAAATTGTTCTTGCTGTTCACATACTGAAGACCTTCTTCACTTATTTCTTTGTTCAAAAAATGAAACTGACATCCTCCAATTACTCAACAACCTTATACATGAAACTCTTTTTTCCCTACA